AAAATTTACAAGCACTGTGCACCATGTTTGCTCCTACAACAACCACTGTGCAGCTGACTGCTTGCTCATGTGTGCTTACGCTTAAGTATGTTTAACATGGGATAAGCTCGTTTTTCCATGCTCGCTTCATTTACTCCCGACATGGACCCGGCGCAAATTGATAAATTATTGTTGCTGCTGTGCCCATAACAAAGCGGGGCGACTTTTGAGCACACGCCCACCGCTAGGCGCCCACTGTGGCCCATAAATTGCATTCAATTAGCCAGGCAAAAACAATTAGCCCAATGCGATAAGCGCGCATTATAATATTATTTAATGTAATAATTGAGTCACAAGACGCTCAGCAGACGTTCAGTGGCCAAATGACAAGCAGTTAAGCTCAACATGCTCGCATTATCGCATTCAGGTCAATGTATCGTAATTGAAACACTCCCATAATTGACAACTTATTCGCATGCCCAGCGCGCTGGGGTCGCTGCAATTTGGTGGGCGTGGAATGGCCATTAAAATCACAGTCCGAGGTCGCAGTTTGTTTTTATTTTGATTTTCTATACATTTCTAAACCTATTTGATACACTTGCAGATGGTATTATAACACATTTTCTTACGAAATGTGTAACGCATACGTTTTTGAACCCTTAAAGTAAATTTATTTCTGATCAGCATCAGCCACCGGGAAATCTCACAATTTGAACACCTTCTATTAAAGAGCCTTCTATCGGAACCCTGATCCAGATTGAATCACTTTATAATAGAAGATTCCTTTTTCTTTTCCAATCTTAACATATGTGCCGAATCTTCTCAGCACAGGACTATATTATACACAATGAGCGAAGTTTGTACGTGAAAACATTTTCTACATAATTGTCTCCCACAAGAGTATTTAACATTCGGCGTGTCATTCTTTGTTGATCTTTTTTATTTTGCTTTTTTAAATCACGATTGCGAACGCACACGCTTACAAAATATATGCAAATACCGCATATCAGAGAAACACTTTGAAGGCATTAGAATTACAAATATCGTTTGCCAGCATCTCCCTAGCAAGGCAATGGCAATGCCAATGCTAACAACAATAACAACAACAACAGCAACAGAGCATCAACGCTTGCTGACGCTGCGGAGCCTACAAACCGCAGACCCTACAAATTTCCACAGCCCCCACCCCACAACTCACATAGTAATAGATGCAAAATAAATATGCAAAATCGTTCGACTGGCGACAGCGACAGCGTTGAGCGAAATACATAAATCAGATGAGAAAAGTTAAAATTAAATGCAAACAGTGGCAAAATGCGGCGACGACGATATTTAACATTAAGCAGAGCATGGTCTGGGAGGAGGGGGATGAACTGGGAGCTGTAGCTTTGGGTTGCCTCGAGGTGGCGAGTAATATGAAGCCGCCGCCAGACGCTTCCTTCGGCTGCTCATTAAAGTAAGCATCCAAACGAACGTCGATAATGTGCAACAATTTGCATGCTACGTGAGAATGCAGTTGCTGCCACAGTCAGTGCAATGTCAGCGGCAGTTGCACTTGGAGTTGGCCAACATTTTGGACTTGGCTCGGCTACGTGCTTGTCCCGGCATTTAATTGGAAGTTGAAGGCAAACACGAGGCCATTTCGTAAATTACGTTAATTGGAAAATGTGCACAGATTTCCATTTACATTTGCATCCATTGGCCAAATGCATTTATAAATGCATTGCTCGCACACGTGACCCATAACCGATTGCCAAATGATGCTCCACCTTTGCGCGGTGCCATCGTACCTTAATGTGGCAATGCACTCTGTGGGATTGAACAAGAAAAAATATATTGCTGCGTGGCACGATAATTTCAATGCAAATATACCCAAAAGCTGGGACATACTTGAAGAAACTAAACACTTAATAAGTAATAATATCTTTTTGTATTATTACTTCAATTAATATTACGCGTCTTAATAAAAACTCCTTTTTGCTATTTCATCAACAATATTTCCTGTACGAGTGCAACTATTTGCTGTCGGGCTCAGATTATGTATGTATATGTATATAAATCGAACAATTTTGTTCTAGAATCTAACGTCTTCTTCCATTTAAATATATAATCTATATAATCGATTCAAATTTAATTTATCAAAATAATTGCTATTTTGAACGTGTGGTGCCTGTTTCGACACTAAGCGTCAATTTGGAAAAGCTTAAGCCTAATTAATCCCTTTTGAAGTTGGTAAGCGATGATTTAATTTACCTTGACCTATTGGAAATGGATTATGAGGTTATAATTCCTGCAACAAGCAGAACAAGACGTGTCCGACATCATAAAATGTCTATATTCTTGACCGAACAAATGAAAAATGTGAAAAGCCTAAATGTAAATATTAAAACACTCATGAAAACCATTATCCGCAAATTTTCCACAGTTGCGGATGGAATTCTCAATATCGTATTCTTAATGCTACACGTTTGAGGCACATTTAACGTGAAATGATTTAAGATAACTGAATACTATAAAAACAAAAACAAGCACACTTTAGTTCCATATGTTTTATGTAATATAATTAATATATTTATGCGTCTACCCGTCAATCTCAGAAACTACATAAGCTAATCAATGGAAATTTTGAAGTGTATATTCCTTAAGACCTTGCCCATACTATTTCGTAAAAGTCGATTGTTTTTTAAGCATACAACTAAAGCTGGCTGCAACAATTGGTATTGATATGTATGGTTCACAGAGATTACAATAATTAACTTATTAACAGGTCCCCGCGTTACCCACAAAAATTGAACAAAATGCAACCTACAAAGCTTGAGCCTCCTTTTCAATTAGAAGATTAAAACTAGATTTTAAATGCAATTGTTATCAGTAGCAGAATAAAGTTTTCGTACTTTATTTCATGCACAAATAAATAATAGCCTTTCTGAGAAGAGATTTTCTTCTATGCTCGCAATTGTTAATCAATATTGATGTCATTTAAATAAGATTTCATATTTTTCAAGCCATTTCTGTCTCTTTCTCTCTCCCTGCCTCTGACTTTTTCCTGCTTCAATATTTATCTCTTTTAGTTAGTAGAGCATTTATTGCGGCTTAGCCTCAAAATGTATTATGCATAAAATAGCAACAGAAATTCTGATAAAATATATTGAAAATTTTATTGGTTGACTACACACACGCACAAACTGACCAACACACACACGCATTCAGGCATACAGGCACACACACATACATATGTGCTATGCTTGTACAAACATTATTTGCATTTTCATAAAGCAAACATTTTATGTGTTTCAGCTTTTGTTGTTGTTGCCTCTGCTGCTGCTTCAAGTTTTTTGTGCAAAATTCAATTTTTCTATGCAGTTACCTAAATTTCGAGTTGTGTTGCTTACTTTTTCTCTCACCCTCTCTCTCTCTCTCTCTCTCTCTCTCTCTCTCTCTCTCTCTCTCTCTCTCTCTCTCTCTCTGTGCGTGGAAAGCTCTAAACTTTATGTACGCAATTTTTTTCTGTTTCTAAATATTTTGCTTTGTTTTGCGCAATTTTTTGGCGGTGTATGTGAGTGGGTGTCGGCGTGTGTGTGGGCGTGTGTGTGCTTTGCTGTTTTTCTATTTGTTTTAATAGACTACTCTGTGGACGGAACTGGCAACGACTTGGGGCTGGCGCTGGCTTTGCAAATATCCTGCGGCACTAGCATTCACATTCATATGAGTTTATCGCATGGGGGTGCACTGGATTTTCTGATTTGCTCTTTTATATGTTTAAGTGTGGCATATGTGTGCGCTTATGGGTGCTATATATGTACGTGTATGTGTGCGTATTCCATATTCAGCTGGTTTCTTTGCCCGGCTTGCGTGGCATAAGACGTCGAGAGGCGCTTTGCTGAACTTAGCTCAAAATTTGACTTTGGTGTCTGTCTTGTGGCTGGCGGCTAGTGAATTGTGGACTGTGACTTAGACTTGGACTAAGCTATTGTTGTCCAGGTAACCAAAAGTTGTCTTGAGGCAATAGCCTGGGCGTTGGATCTCAGACTCTCTTGGCTGAAACATGTCAGCAGAGTCTTATCTTTACTTAAGATAAAAAAGCATCTGAAAGAAGAAAAACTGGAATGGAATGCGCCATGAAGATTGAATATTCTTGCTTTATATTTTGATACTTTGCTACGGAATGCCACACAAATACATACCTTGTTAGATAGAAATCTAAATTTTAACTTATTATTCCTAACGAGAAACCTATTGATAGATAGGTCGATTTTTTGCGGATTTGCATAATATTGAAGCTCGTAGTTGAAGAGTTTATGAAGAGAAAATAGTGTGTGCATCGACCGATTCATTCTTTTGAGCTATGCATAAGATATGGTAGACAACTTTTGGCTTTTAAACATGTAAGATGCATTTTTAGCCAAGGTACATGGAAAACCCAAGTATTAATCTATCATTCGACCCATAATTTTCTTGACATTGTCCGACCCGGACATTCAAAATGCTATTGCTATTTGACCCACTTTTATGGTTCGGATCAATCTGAATCAAATTGAAATATTTATGAAAATATTATTTAAGCGTCAACAGGTTCAGTAAGAAGTCCATTAAAGATCTTTGCTATGTTCACAGAAAAATACTTATTTCTCTAAGACGACCCACATAAAAGTAGCTCAGTAATGGTAATGGTATTTAATTTAATTGTTATCTTAAACTATTGAACGTAATATTATTAAATAGTGTTTAATATTAACAAGACTTGCAACTATTCTTTTGAGATGGATAGATGTATATATAAACATATACTTGAACGGTAAGGTTTTCATTTTCATAGACGGAATTAACAAAAGCAATTTTAATAAATTGCAGCAAGCAGCAGAAGGTAAATTCTTATATATAAGAACTTGCAAATAGTGCTTAACCTTAAAGTACTCTCTCAGGAGTTATGTACAGACATAAAGTGATGCCAGAGAACTTATCGTTGAACTCAATTCATAAGTTTTAGCATAGAGCTACCAAAATCCGAGGGAGAAACTCACCCAAAGTTTTCGCCTGCGCTGCGGCTCGCCTTCTTTCGCTCTGCTAATCCAAGTGCGGGGTAAATCTCGTTGGCAGCGCTTTATTTGATGTTTGTATTTTGCTTTTTATCAACTGAGCGAGAGAGGGAGAGAGAGAGAGAGAGAGAGCGAGACAGAGAAAAATGAACTTAATAAAGTTGCGAATTTGGTTTCTGTTGCAGTTAATTGGTTGTTGTTCTAATGCACTCAGCCGCATATGGAAGGGGCTTCAAAAGTAATGTGTATCGTATGGATGCACTTTCAGTCTGGACTCTCTTCTCGGTCTGACGACAATAAATTGTGATAAATTATGACAGCACGCGACCGATTCGCGTGTGCGGGTGCAATTGCGTGCGGGGTATTGCTTGAGGCGTTCACTTTATGAGCACACACACACACGCGTATACATAATCTTGCCAATACAAATGCGAATCACAAGAGTTTCATTAATTCATTTGTTGTTCTTCAATTTTGATTTCTGCTCAGGTTTTTCTTTATAAACGCATTTTGGTGTGAATTAGCAATTAATTGATAGCCAGCACGCAGCAGGCTATCAAGGGCGTTGGGGCGTGGCGCACTGAGTAAACTAATGAGCGCGAAAATGACACAACGATATTTCCATGCGAATCATTTGTGAATTGTGAGTTTCTCAATCGTCTAAGGATCTGCACGCTTGAGTTGCTGTTGTCGTCATTTATTTACTGATTTCTGTTGTATTTGAGTATTTCTTTTCATGTGTTGGTTTTTCTTTCTCTGATTTTTTTGCAATTCACTTTTATTTTCTACACACACGTACACACGTACACACGCACACACGCACAAAGCTGTTGCCTTTGCAAGGGCAAAATCTTCCTTTTATGCTTGCGGGCTGTGTTGTTGTTGCTGTGGTTGTTGTTAGCAGCAACAATTCTCGTAATCCGCTTTTGGCCTAAATTTCAATTCTTATTTGATTTTACTTTTACACTGTTGTTGTTGTTTGTGTTATTGTTGTAGAGCGCATTGCTCTTTGAGATATTTTTTTAAGGTTTTTTTTGCTTTTCTTTTGCGTGTTTATTTTAACGCGAAATTACGACAACGTTGGCAAAGATGCTCTGTCCTAGTCCCTCTACGCGACTGATGCCCAGGCAACGCCGACTATTCGCACGCACTGTAACCGGCTTGGGGCGCGGTTGTTGGGGCGCACGCACCTGCCTCCACCCGCCGCGCAGCATCCACGACAACGACAACAATCTTTAGAATGGGTCACGCACTTTTCTTTAGCCTTTTTTGGCCTTTTGCCTAATTACCGAATAAATTGCGAACAACTGGCCAGATTTAAGTTAAGTTTAATTTTTCCTGATTTTTGATACAGTTGTTGTTGTTCGATGTTCACTCACCAAATCAAACACCATGCAACTAACATTTATTTATATTATTTGTATATGTATATGCTCTAATTAATATATTTTGAATTATATATAACCGACCGATTGTGCGCTAAGCACATAAATGTTGTTTATCAAACGCGACTGCGAAACCGACAAGATGAAGCGCACACGTGTGCGAACGACTGCGCGTACGAGTGTCGAATGAGAGACTGACGCGACCCGGTCGAGAGGCGCAGCCAACCAGATCGAGTACTAAGACCAGCCAATATGTTCGATATCCAACCATACCGGGTTGCAAGCGAACATCATCTGTGATGAGGTCAAACATTTATTTGTGAATTCCTAATATGAAATTAGTTAATTAAGATTAAAACAGAAGTTAAATTAAAAGAAAAGGTAAGGCAATTATTTTGGTTAAACTTTTCCCGTTCCCGAAATTTTATTTGTTGAATTTTGACTTTAATTTTATTTTGGTTGATTTTTTATTTTTTAACATATGTTGTTTATTTCGAAATCTGCCATCCTGCTCTATGTTAACAGATTTTATCAGAATGAAATATCGGAAATTAATATTTTTATTTTCCAATAAAAATGCTATGTACTTTAGCTTTTGTAAGACACCTTAAAAGTGTATACCATTTTCAAGAGACTTCGATTTTAATTATAATTAATTAAGTTGCAGAATGGAAAGAAATTCTTGGCTCCTGCATTCGGCAGGCAAATTTGTAGTTAACAATAGCTGGACTAATAGGAAATAGCATATTTGTTATTACTATGAAAGGCGAGCACCAGCTGATTGGCCTCCACATACACAATGTATATTGCGAACTATAAAATAATGACTGAATATTTGCAGAAACATTCCCATCTTCCAATTGACCCAAAAACAAAAACAATATAATATACGTACTGCTCAATAGGATTATTAATAATCGGATGCTGCTTATAAAATGCTTGCTCCAAATATTTATGTTATGGCTCTGTAGCTGTTAACAGCATCGAACAAAACTGTTGCGTGCGACAACAACAAGACCTCGTTTGACGTACCATTTGACGAATGCGAGGCACAGTTTTCGTTGCGTTACATTTTAGATGTCGTTTCGTTAGTCGGTCGGCCTCCCGCCCCTCACCGACAACAAAACGAACGCAACGCAGATGCTCTCACACATCTCTCGTGGTCGAGTGACTCGTTGGCTTGGCAATCGTGCGGGGCAACATGTTGCGGCAACATATACGCATAGACTTGACCTTTGGCAACAGCCCTTGCTGTTGTTTTAGGCAACCAATTAATAGACAGCTCAAATAAACACACCCAGGCTCGGGTACAACGTGTGTGTGCGCGTGCGGGTGTATGTGATTTATTGCAAGCACTCATAAATCTGCGCTCGCCTCTGCCGCACAGCATAAAGAAAAACATGCATAATTTCCATAAATCTTTTATGGCTGCGTGAAAAAAGTTTTGGCCAGGCCAATTATGCGCCCTGAACTAGGCACTAATTTGACAGAAAGTGGCCATAACCCTCTTCTGTAGTTCACTCAACCCATCGCAAGCTGCCAGCGTGAAGCCATAAGTAAACACAAATTGAGTTATCTGCTGGTCAGCGGCATTAATGAGACACACACACATACACAGATGTCAAGTATGTGTGCCTCGATGGCCAGCAAGAAATATAATAGCCAAACTGCAACTCTGCTTTTTGCCACTTGTTATGCCATAAATGTCGATGACCCCTCGGTAACTACTTAATTTCAATTTCCTGGAGTTCACCAAAGTCCTCATTCGGTTTAATTATAAGAGGACAAAGACAATGCTGGGCATTAGCTTTCATTCCAGGAAAAGTTCTACTTTCCTATGTTGGCTATTTTATATAATTATAGTTATGAAGTCATTGTGCAACCCTATAGTATATATGTTATGTCGTAATTAGTGTAAGATGAGAACAGATTAAAAGGTTGCGAATGTGACTTGAAAGGAAGTAAATGAAAATAACACTCTAACCAACTTGCATTTGTACTCACTTTCAAAATTACACATTGATTACAGTGAGAGGTTTTCTGACAAGACAAATATTCATATTATGATTAGCTATCAATATTTATCTGAGAAGCAACTAGAAATTTTCATGCAAATACGTCTCTGCTTAAGTATGTTAAGAAATGTTTTTACCGAATTTAATTCACTGTCTTTAACACTTATTATAAGGTGTTAACTCTTATAGTTACAACAATCAGAATTACATGTTGTCTATGCCTCATAATCGCTGTTCGGTGCAGCCATATGTGCAGGGGAAGTTGAGGTGGCAGCGCTGTTAGTTGAATTTTCGAGACATTTCAAAACTAAACAAACTGAAGTTGTTGACAGGCATGTCAAGTAACTTAAACACAAGACAAGCCACATTCAAGCTGGACAGAATTTGCAACTGGTTGTCAACTTTGACAGTAACACCTCAAAGCGACCTCAAGTGTCAAAGGTCTTAATTTCTGCGGTCAGGAATAAAATTTGCCAGCTTGTGGCAAGCTTCAAAACAACATGCTGCTGGACACATGCTGCTTTCGTTAAGTGTTGCGGCGTTAAAGAGCTGGCAGCATGTCTGTACTAAAATGTGCCTAAGCCTAGCAAATGCGCCACACGCATTTCGTGAGTGCCTTTAGCCACATGTATCTAACTCCTTATATGCGGCCAACAGTCCAAATGGCTAACAGGCTGTTGTGTGCATCTATGCAACTGCTCGCGGAGCTGCCATGTTTGCACTTGAGGTGCAACATTAAGTGGCAACAGCGAGCAAAGTGCGTAATAGGATCAAGAATAACAAGCCAAGCTAATAGAAAGGTTACCGATTAATGGGCATATCATTGCTCGCATTTGTTTTCTGCTCAATTGTGGGCGTGGCAATTATTGTGTTCTCAACTTGCGTCTTATCTGCAGAATGTTTTCCAGGCGAAGAACTTGGCTTATTTCATTTTAATTGCTTCGCAGACGCTCCTCAAGACAGCAACACAAATACGAAAGATGTACACACACACACATGCACACACACAGTAAGCACTCATTTACTTTGCTCTGTGCGCTCTGCGGGCTGCGGGCTGTGGCTGTGCGTGCCCCCTCTGTCTCTCTCAGTCTCAGTGTGCTCATTAAAAAAGCGAAGCAGCTACGCAGAAAAGCGACATTTGCATAAATTGTGTGTGCGTGTGTGTGCTATGTGTGTGTGTGAGCGCCTAAAAGCATGCAAAACGTGCCAGTGACACACAAATGTCAGCAACAGCAGCCGACAGTCAGCAGTAGCAGTCAGCAGTCAGCAGTCGGCAGCAGGACAAAGCAAAGTCAAAACTTGCAAATTTTAATGCATCACAAGATTTCAACAACTTCCTTTTGGCCCAGCTTGACGCTTTGACTGTCGTGTGGCATGACCTCCCTCCCTCCGCCCAACCACCACATGCGATGGCTTCACTTGAGTCTCATTAAAAGCCATCGCTTGTCATCTAATGAAGTCTCCCTCGCATTTTAAAGGGCGTGGCCCATAACCGGGCCGAGCCGTGATTCTCTTGTACCTAGTTTTGATGGCCGTCGTTAAATGGTCGTTTCCTTTTTTACGCACTGAACTCAATGTGATTGACAGCTGGACACTGTGACACGACACAGTCGATACTCCGCACTCCGCACTCCATCCTCCACCCAACGCCCGGGCACCTCTGACTTCTTGATGCCAGGCAGCGGCAATTTATGAGGGTGTCATTTACAGTTTTTGGCGCACAATTAAAACCAAACGGAGCAAGCTATACCTATCTCAAGGCCCGAGATGAAAGTGAAAACTGTGCATGGATTAACACATCTCTCGTTCATGGTGAGGGATGGCAACCCCCATGGGCAGCCCTCTGGTTGTGACTCGGTTGTCATATAAATCAAACATAATAAACGCCAACTTCCAAAGATATTAGACTTTGCTGCTGCCAGCTGATAGCTTAAGGGTGGGGGTCTCGGTGGCAGGGGCAAATAAATCTAAATTACGAACATACTTAACTGCGTGGCGTCGGCATCGGCAGGGCCATGGTGCAAGGGACAGGGGCAGAGACAGTCCGTTGGCTCTATTCGACTTTCCCTCTGACCGCAGGGGAATTCAATTGCGGCGAGCGGGCGGCCCTCGTTTGAGAACTGGCGGCTTTGAGATAACAATCTCTTTTTCTCTAGCGTTGAGTACTGTGAGAAATGTGGCTGCTCGTTAGTTTCCTTGTTGTTTGTCTCGTTAACCGCTGTCTAATGGTCCACGTAGAGTTGACACCTAACCGAAAGCAAAAGAGAATGGGCTGTCTAGAGGGTGGCTCGGCAAATTATTGATGAGTCGTAAATTCGTTTAATTTGTATTTTTCAACGTGGTTGGCGAGTCTGCCAGTCCACGCACACTGCGACAATCTGGCCAGCATAAAGACACAAGGTGTGTGCTATGTGAATTGTCAAAAGAATGAACCTTATGAAAAGTCATTGACAAGGGCAACGGCAATAACAAAGAAGCTCTCGACTTGAAGCTATCCTGTTTCCATTTCGAGAGTATCTAAAACCACATATATGTATTATGACACCTTCTCCTTCATTGTTTATTATTTATCTCTCAGTGATCTAGCTGAACTTTTGCTTTATATAAATAAAATACCAATATACATGTATATCACATATCTGCCTGTAGCATATATATTCCCGCTTTAATATTCCCCTGTTGCGCCATTGTCCACAGGATGTACAAAGAAGTGCGTGAGGGCGTCAACAAAAAAGAAAAAAAAGAAGAACAGAATTGATGATACACACCTACAGTTTCGGATCAGGGGAAAGTGGGCGTTAGGTAGACACTATCTCATTTGCGGTCATGTTGGTGTGTCAGGAGCGCTTCAACAACAAAAATTACAACAAATAAAAACAGGAGCTGCATGAGCTCTCGACCATATGGCGACCATTTGCCTGAATTTTTCAAAATACGTACAAGAGAACAAACATGTAAAAATGCTCAAGTTAAATGTGTGTGACCGCGTAGATACCCTGGCCTTAAATATATGTATAATATCTCTAAGGAGGTCAGATATAAAATGTTTACCCTCAAATTCCATAGGGTCCTTTAGCATTTAATCGATTTGATATAATATAAATTATTTATGGGCTTTTGAATTATCATTAGTAAGCCTTTTTTATAAATGTAATTTCT